GAGGTAGCAGTTAATGAGGACTTCATTATCTTGGAGAACAAGGAGGTGATGGCTATAGGCCTGTTGTTGGACGCGTCCGAGCTGTTGCCTTTCTTAGGGATCGGGTGCACTAAAGCGGGCTTCCAGGATTTCGGGACTACGCCTAGAGTATAGGAGTGCCGGAAAAGACGTCAAAACCGGTGCCAACTCCGGAGCAGGATCGGAGGGCCATGCCATCGGGCCCACTCGACTTATGAATGTCCAAGGAAAAGAGTGCTCTGCGAACTGCACTTTGCCGAAATTTAAACTCCGGTATCGTAACATCGCAACGCGGTATTGTCGATGGTAATTTTCCTTTTCCAAAGACGAGTTGGATGTGAAGAGAGAGTCAAGAAGATAGGCTTTCTCCTTCGGGGCATGGGCCAGCGAGTCATCCTCCGTGTCCAGGGGTGGAAAAGAACGCTTACAGAAATTCCCTAAGACTGCTTTGGCGAGAAACAAAATGTTATATAAATAATGATAAATAATTAAAATCACTCGTAAATAATTACATTCATTTGAACTTATCTCTAAATGTGCGTGATTTATGGGCAACTCATTTATTTTACGCCCGATAATTCATAACTAGCACGCACACAAGTACGTTTCAAAAGTATATGACGCATTTATGAATGACTAGCGGCCCGCCCCGGCTTCGCACGGGTATTTAAAAAAAAAATTTTAAAACTAAAAATTATCATACACATAAAATATTCCGAATATTTCGTCTCTGGTGAATAATTTTATGAATTTCTTGTCTGTCTTATGGGAGCCCCACTTATTTATATTTTTTTGTTTTTTAGTATTTGTTGTTATAGCGTCAAAAGAAATACATCGTTTGTGAAAATTTCAACTGTCTAACTATCACGATTCATGAGATACAACCTGGTGACATATGGACAGACATACGGACATACAGACGGACAGCAGAGTCTTAGTAATAGGGTGCTGTTTTACTCTTTGGGTACGGTACCCTAATAAGTCCCAGTAATAATGCAATGGCTTAAAACAGGTAGCTCTAACCATCAACCTAAATGCATACAATTGCATGCATGACACAGTTTTGTTACGCACTGTACCTTGCTGAAGAATAGTCAAATAATAACCGTCTTCTCCCATTACGACGATTAAGGGATATTGTAGTGGATCATGCAATCGGTGTAACTCAGAGACCCTTTTAAGTTGGCCGTGTCTACTGTGCAGCACTATATCTCTGGGGCCATTTTATGGTTCGGTACCCAAAGGGTAAAATGGGACCCTATTACTAAGACTCCGCTGTCTGTTTGTCCCTCTGTCAACAGGCTGTATCTCATGAACCGTGATAGTTACACGGTTGAAATTTGACCTGGGTGTTTGTTTCCCAAGGAGGTTTAACTTCAGGCAGGCGGCTGATTGTAAAAATATGGCCAAAACCGCGTACAACATAGGGGTAGGATGATGATGATGACTTGTATACTTGTCCCTCTATTTAAAAAGATCGCATCAAACGAAGTCATTTGAAAGAGGCTATTGTACTTTCGGATGTTGGTTAAAAATGTTCAGATGGTGAATGATTATTTATTGGCTGTGACGGCTTCTCAATATTGGGGAGACTAACTTTTCCAGAAGCACAGCAAATACCATTTGGTTCATCGACAGATTTGTAGGCAGAACACTGAGCAGATCTTATTCGCCTCGAATTGGACAAAAGACTGTTGAGCATAATGCAAAAAAACTGATCTGTTACTGTGAGCTAAAACTCGATTACGAACTCTAGTCGTTGACATTTGTTGTTTTTTTCTCTAATCTCGTAGTACGTTGGAAACGTTCCGAGCTCGATTCCCTGGTGTGAATTTGTATATTTATATTATTTTGCTCTTCAAGCCACTGCAAACACTCTACTCGACTCTCTCCGACGTACGTATTTTTGATGCCCTCGCTTGGAAACTTTTTCTAGAAAGATGAGATCTTGATCTTTGGGTATTTTAAAATGATGTTGAACAGGAATTACCACTAAAAATGTGATTGAAGAATTATTATAAGAAGTACTAAGTCAGTCACTAAGCTGTTTGGATAGTTAAATAATTTTAACAATTAACAATATACTAACATTTTTAAACTTGTGATATCTTTCGAATGGAATGTCCGCATTTGATAATTCAAAAAGTTATATAAAGATATGAAACAGTCTTAAATAAGAAGTAATTTATTTTTCTGATTAATACCAAGATACAAATAAAGAGCCTTTTCTAGCGGCGGCATTTCAATCAAAATTTTAAAATAAAAGGACACTTATTGTGGCATAACTATAATAGTTAGACATATGCTGTCGCGACACTTTTTGTAAATAATAATGTGTTCTGCAAAATCGTAGTACATTGTTTTATTCTATCATCAATAGTTTTCGCAGGGCACGCGATGTAAAGAATATTATAAGTAATTTTTGTACACGTAATTTTTGTACGAGTAACATTATTGGAGTTTTAATAAAGATCCCTCATTTTTTTGAAAATATAATATAGCGTATATCAAGCAGGGAGCCTATTCAATACATACAAACAATCAAATCTTTCCTCTTTATATAATAGTATAGACTACCACATTATCAACAAGTTCGGAATAGAGTAGCAATTTTTTTTTGAAAAAAAAAGTTTGTTTTTATTTCAATAAACAATTATACTACCGAGTCTGAACCTCTTGTGTGAATTTGGACGCCTTTAGAAAAGCCATCCTGTATATATATAAATCGGTGTCCTTAGACGGATTCCTACAGCAATGCGTAAGTTTTCATCGTCAAGTAATTTGCCCAAGTTACTTAATGGTAAAGCGCCAGTAACTCGATTCTTTAGATGAGACGTATTGAAAACGGCCACGCTCTAAATTACTTTCTAAAGATTGAAACGTATCTTTCTGTACTCTCTGCACCAAACGAATTCCCACTGTTTGTGTACGCTTACTTCCAGTGGGATCTTTTCGTTGGAGATAGACACCTAAGACAACCTCGCCTCCTCAGGAAAGTTCATAAGAAAGTTCTCAATTGTGATTATTAAGGATTTAGGATATTATTACACTATGAACGGAAGCAAGGCAGGTAGAGCGAGACTAGAAATTTTCCGTACACCAATACCACCAAAAGGAATTGGTAACCCAGCTTGAGTCCAGCTTAATTCATTAAGAGATAATTTTAGTTTTTTCTATAGCTGATTTAAGATGAAAATTAATTTCGTTGAAAAAGTTACCGTATTTTCAAACTGGACTCGAGCGAACAAGAATACAATATCGCAAAATAATAAGTGCAATATGCGAATTTAGTAAAAATAATTTGTTAACATGATCTAAAAATTAATTTTACTTTTTTAAAAAGGTTTCTAAACTTGGTATTAACAAAGGAGTACCTAAAAGGTAAAGTGAATCTGAACGGACTACATTTATTCCTGGTATAATCGAGCTAAAATTTTGGGTTAAAATAATTTTGTCGGAAAAGAAAAATTCACATTTGGAATTATTTAAACAGAGACCGCTTTGTCTAATTGTCTAATAATTTCGATGAGATCACTTTGTCCGCAGGGTCCCCCATGAATGCAGTTGTCTCACAAGAATCAAACTTGGGCCCATTATTATTTCTAGTATATGTAAATGATCTCCCCTTTTATGCCAGTGAGTTGTGTAGTGTTGTACTTACTATTTGATGACGACACATCGCTCATCTTTAAGGTTGACGGAAATTTATAAAATTATGACGACGTGAGTGATGCACTTTCGCATATCCTTCACTGGTTTACCATAAATAATATGGTATTAAATGCCAAAAAATGCCTTCTTACACAATGAAGTCATTGTGTAAGAAGGCAAAGTCTTAGTTTATTATTGAATAACGTTTTCCTTAATCCTGTCGAGTCCGATTTTATTTTGATTTCATTTGTATTTTCTTTCATTGAAAACTTTCTGTCAGACGATATACATCGTTTTATTTTTGAGTACATACATTTTTAAGGGGCAAGTCGATTCTTTAAAAAATAACATGTTTATTGATTATGATTCAAGGTTGCTGTTACGACCCAAAATTAAAAATATATCGATGTAAAATGTTAGACGTAACAAAATTTTTATTATTCGCGGTGGCGTTTACACCAAAGCAACCGCAAAAGCAACCGCTTTTAAAGATTATAAAAGAGGTTGCTTTTATGAAACAAAAAATTAACAACTAAAAATATATTTATTTTCTATAAAAAAAAATTGGGTCGTAAACACCCTTTTTAGACGAATTGGAAGACATAATATGCAGATCGATAGTGAAAAAAAATGAGCAGGGCTGCAATAGTCATTTTCGCTGAAATGGCGGTTACGCCCTTTGGGCCTCGGGGTATCGATATGCTAAATGAATTCAACTAAATAAAACTTACGCTGTCTCCATCTCGTAACCAATTATCTTATCTTGCTGCGAGGTGGGCCCCGATAAAAAAGATCGTCGATTAACGAATATCATCCCCTTTCAAGCCTCACGCCGAATACCACTCAATGGCGAACAAAAGCACCGATTCCAAAAATCGTTAAATTATGTTAGTTGTTAGGTAGGTTAAGTTACGTAGATTTGCTTATATTAGATTTAGTTTAACTTTATAGTGCTAATAGTTTTGAAGCCGTTACTTTTTGTTAAAAAAAACTTTTTATAATATCTTCAATTGGATAATCAATTCTGAATGGGAGTCGCACAGTATATCTTCCATCCTTATCTCACCACATGAATTATTTGATAGAATCCTTCCCACTGTGTCCTAATTAAGTTAAGTCTCTCTACTGTTTGAAGTGAATACTCAAATCAGATAATTAAAAATTCTTATTATTCCCAGAATTGACGTGGCGTTTGTTCAACAGCTACCTTTGTGTAATAACTAATATTAGAGCGGAAGCAAGAAATTTACGAACACGATAAACACAACAACAAATTTTATGTTTCCACCAATTTATTTGCTTCTATACAATGAAGACAAAGAGCGAGTTCAGTCGGTGAGCTGCGTGAGGAGTGCGGTGCCTCGCAGGATCCAGAAGTCGGGCGGGTGGTCGGCCGGCAGCAGAATGGGCAGCACGAAGTTGGTGCTATGGCCGGTGGTGGCCAGGGCGCCGGCGCGCGCGCTGGTGCGGTACAGCGGCGCCTCGTAGCGGCCGCGCGGCTGCGGGGCGCCCACGTGTGCGCTCACCCTCACCGCCGGCAGCCACGCCCACGTCTGACCTGATGCCCAGTGCGCCCCGCATCAGACTAACTAGCACCTTTCAATGTTTCATCCCGTACGTCTAATCCGGCACCTCAATGCGTCAACTTGTATATGCATTTGAATGCAGGAGAATTCGTGCACTTTAAGAAAACCGCCGTCATTCCATACGCTTTGCGTACGATAGATTAAACCCTTTTTTTCTCAAAATACGTTCTGTGTTGTGAAATCTTCCTACTCACAAAAAAGATGTGTGTGTATTTATGCAAGGGCGGATCCAGCTTTCGTGTCACATGGTCGTGGTCAAGTGACAAGAACATCTGCTACGCCTGAGGGTTTGCAGATGCGTTGATAACCTTTTTGAAAATTGGACTCCGGCTACCCCACTCACCAGACGAAACGCGAAAGTATTATACTTCCAATTCAAGCCGGTCTTCTGTGAGATCGTGGTACTTATCCGGACGAGCCTGCCCATTCGTGCAACAGCTGAGGCTGCTGCGCAGTTAATAAAACGCAATGATTTTGTGTCGCGCAATAGTTTTGAATTGAATTTTAAAACTTCAACGAAGATTATTTTATAAATTTCACTCAGGCACGAAGTGTAACATGAAATGTGACGTGAAGAAAGGTTTCCGAATAATGCGTTTGTAATCATGCAAAACATTATATTAAATTAATTAAATATTACAGGTACTTTCTGGACCCCCCCCCCCCCCCCCCCCTCCTGGATCCGCCCTGGTATTTATGTGTAAACCATATGTATGGTAAGTCATTCGAAAAATAAACGGTTAATAAGTGAGTTGTGTTTCTGTGTCGCCCACTTTCTAGAACATTACAGTACAAAGGGCGGATTTAATGCCCAAAGGCATTCTCTACCAGTCAACCCAGAACGTGGTGAGAGTTTATGGTAGGTGCAGCAAAAGATGCAAGAATAACAAAATTTTAACTAATGAGAATAAATATATAGTAAATAGCAATAACTATAAGCTAGTTCAAAGCATTGCTTTTAGGCATAAAATAATAGAGACATAAAATTGACATCTAAATAAGATGATTAGATAGTTAAGGAAAAATGACGATTGAAATGAGGAATGAGTTTAACTTTTTTATGTGACAGTCAGTCATTACGTATCACATACATAACTTATTACAATGCTTGCTTTTAAATTTGTATGATGTTTTCGCCTGTTCAATCGAGGTTAATTGAAAATAATCATTGAACCTGATTTTACCATTAATATAGTTTGGGCATATTGGAAGTGGTAAATTAAATAATAATTAGGTTACCTGTGCTCCGTATAAAAATTATCCTAAATTATCCTAAAGATAAAGTCAATGTCACAATATAAAAATGGAGTTTGGTGGTTTATTTAAAAATGGATATAATATATAGTTTAATTATTTGTATGAGAGTGTCAACCTGTTTTTCACTTTATTCAAATATTAGTGCAACTTCTGTATCTGATTCCATGATATCCAGAGACAGTAGTGCCTTATAAGTAATTTCGCTTTCGCCCACTTAACGCTCTGGTTTTACGCCCCTAACATAAAAATCTTTGAGGACTAGTTTTCAAACATGTCGGGCGAGATATGTATATAATATAAATACATAGCCGCGTAGACGGCGGCCGGGGCTATAGAGAACGACGCAAAAGCGAGTTGGGTGATGCGCCGGCGGTGTGGTGGGGGAGGGGGGTGTATTGATTTATTGCTCTCTGCCCCTATACTTCCCCCTGTACCTAACTATCCTCGGTGAAACTCTATTACATCCAAAATCATTACGCTGTTTCCTACGATTGTAATTGCAATTGCTTCAAATTATTTTTGATTGTGTTCGGGATATTACTTTTGAATCGTTTAGTTGTGATTGCGACTATAAAAACCGTCAGCTATCTTGTCAATTTTATCTAACCCAACATAAACCAATGAAATTACACAAGTTATAAGAAGAGAAATGACAAAACTATGTATCAATAGCTGTTATTCATCTTATCCTTTAAACGAGCAATTCTTGTGTATATATTATCAGAATCTCGGGAGCGGCTTCAGCGATTTTCATGAAATTTAGTATGTGCGTAGATTCGTAGATTCGCGAAAAGTCAATCTAGTTAGGTTTCGTTTTTAGAAAATGTCCTTTTATCCCTGTTTTCAGGGAATGAAAAATATCATTCGAATATCACGGTAAATTTCAACGAAAAAAATATTTTTATAATAGCTCAGTCGGTAATCGCGCGGCACCGAAACAGAAGGCCGTGGTTCGTGTCTCGATCATTTACATACTTATTTTTTTTACTTTTTTTTCGATTCCAGATCATTGCTTTCTTTATTTTTATATTTTTGTCCATCCAGATGATTTTGTTCTTTTTTCCCTTTTTTTTAAAGTTCTTTCTTTTGTGGAAAACACCAGTTCATATTTTCTTAATATTACGTCGTTAAGATCTAAAAATATTATTCATGTTTCATTACTCAGTAATTTGTATCTAAATGTAATTTCCAAAATACACGATTTACCAAAAAAAAAAAAACAAACCTCCCATATAACAGGTATTATTATTTTACACAACGTATCGTTACACCCGCGACAATAAAAGAACACACATAGGGGATAACTTTTTAAAATTGTATTAAGAATTTTTTTCATTCTTTAAACATCCATATTTACCGAGTAATTAAATTTTACAAAACAAGTTTTAAATTTTTTTTTAAAATTCTCTGAATGCTGAATGTATGAATCGGTCAGTTGTAGTTGTATAGGATGTTACAATTTTTTTCTTTTTTATTTAATTAGTTTGTATAAAAAATGTATTTCTTTAATTATGGATTTTTTAACGTTTTATATTTTTTATGATTATTGGCGAATAGCGAAGGACGTGTGTTCATTTATTGTCGTGGTTGTAACGACACGGTGTATATTAGATAATATACTGTCGGCCCGGTTTATGATACACTAAACACTGTAGAAGTCTAATCAACTGAAAGAGTTTAACAATCATATTAAATCATAATAAATAAATATATTGAGACGCATCAGTGAATATATTAATCTCTTTAAAAAGGTCTCTGAGTGTATTCCGGGCTCCGATTTTATAGATTGCTCGGACAGCTCTTTTTTGAAGAATAAATATAGAATTTATATCAGATGCACTACCCCATAACAAAATGCCGTACGACAAGATGCTGTGGAAATAACTGAAGTAAAGAAGTCTGGCAGTGTAGATGTCTGATAGCTGCCTAACCTTCCTAATTGCAAAAACAGCGGAGCTTAACATATTCGCTAGAGATGATAGATGGGGACTCCGTTGGAGCTTTGAATGCACTTTGAATCAACAGGATTAAGGGTTAAGCTATTTAATGTTAAGCTAAAACTTTGCCTTCTTACTCTGGGAAGGGTAAAAAGAAGGCATTTAGTTTTTTTAGCATTTAACACCATATTATTAACGGTAAACCAGTGGAGGATACGCGAAAGTGCACTATTCACGTAGTCATAATTCGACACGTTTCGGTCAACCTCAAAAATGAGCGATGTGTCGTCAGCAAACAGTACAACAACACAACTCACCTCACTGGCATAAAAGGAGAGATCATTTATATACACTAAGAATAATAATGGGCCAAAGATTGATCCTTGTGGGAAAACAATTTTCATGGGGGACCCTGCAGAATTTACATCATTTATAGATACTTTTTTTTTTAAGATTAATTTTTTATAGTGTATATCCCCCTGTTGTGATAATTTCTTTGAATTGTATCAATTAGCTAAAATATGATACAAGTCAAATTATACCTGACTTGAAAAATTATATTGATTGTGTAAATTAATACAACTATTCAACAAATAATAAAAAAATATTGTACTTCTCCTAAATTATTCTTATCTCATGATTCAATAAAAATTTATAAATTATATATCTAGGATCGGTCATAGCGGATATCACAATAGGTATCTTTCAGTACTTACAGGATATTATGATCATTATCTTAATCCTAAATAGATTAATAAACATAGACATAAATTAACAAACACAACAAAATCTTCTTATCTTTCTATTGGCCTTCTATCTATGAGTAAAATCACCTTTAGACGTAAACCAAAAATAAAAGGAAATAATAACGACAAAATCAGAAAATACTTTTAAAAATTAGTCTTCAGTGTTAATAACAAATCTGTCGTTTTCGGAAATCATATTCTATAATCGACTATCTAATCTACTCAGAATCATAGTCATTGTTCGGAAGAGAGTCTTTAAGGAATAGGCTCTCTTTTTGAAGGTCCCAAAGTCGTATCGGTCTGGAAATACCGCTGGCGACAACTCGTTCCACAAAGTAGTCCATTCAAAATTTCGCGAAAAACGCACAGTGGTGGACCGCCAACCATCAACAATGTATTTACATCAAGATCCAAAGTGTTTACCATAGAAAACATTGCAAGTTAAACAAAGCAACGTAATACTAACAAAATATTTGCTTATTCAAAAAGATCGTTTTAATAAGAAACTGACTGTACTTGCTTTTTTTTATGGAGAAAAGGGGCAAACCAGCAGGAGGCTCACGTGATGGTAAGTGGCCCTTGCTTGCGCAAGGCTGCATTCGCATCTCTTCTCCACCATTAAGTTTGGTGTGGCCTACACAATATTATCTCAAATCCGAGTGAAATATGTTTCATGTTTTTTTTTAAATATTTCCTACACTACCGGCGCGGATTTCCTACACTACATTCATTCATCCTACACTACATCATTAAACATCGGGAGTAAAGTTGACGTACATTAAAATCATGTATAAACTTTCAAACAAAGCAGTATTGGTTGTTTGTTCAAGAGGCTAGTGAGTGGAGTCAGACCTGGCAAGGCGTCGGCCAGACATTCTCGTGCCAGGTCCCAGCGGCCCGCTTCGATGAACAGCCCGTGAATGATGATGCCCTCCTCGGGCGCCCGTAGCCCTCCGAATTCGTCCACATTGCTCTGGCCCTGTGGCACGGGGTGTTGCAATTACTACAAAGCAGTGGCCGCTTGTCCTAAGTGTCCGTTCCGTCCGACAATGTACCAATGGTACTGCCACGGATAGTACACCAAATGTACCTTTGGAGCAAGGAGGCGGGTGGTCCGCAACTGCAGAGCCACTGCATATGGAATATCAATGTACTTATAATTATGTATCTGTGCAATTTTAAAATATCCTACCCGTTTGGTCAAAAATGACTTGCACATATTTGAATAGGATTTTAGAACACCTTTATAGAGCAAAAATTGAGGTAAACATTGTATTATTAAGTTAAAACAATTAAAAAATCTCATGTGGATATCAAATGTAACTAAACTACATTAATATGTTCACCAAAAGTGCCACATGCGTGTGACACTTTTTTACTGAGATTATTTTAGTTTCTTTATATGTATAAGTTATGATAAGAAGTTGAAAACCTGAACAGGTGACTTCATCAGAACACAAGAACAGCGTCTCGGAAAACAGTGGGCCTATTCTTCATTAGGGAGCGTTTTGGAAAAACCACGTAAAGCGTATAGAAATACCTCGAAGTTCATCTTTGATTCTTGGGAATAAATGAGAGTCGCAGGGCGACAGGTCGGGACCATATGGCGGATGACTCATTATCTCGACATCTGCCTTATTGTAATATTCAATTGATGAAAGTTTCACAGAGTGCGCTGAAAAGAGTGGATAGAGAGGATCCTGCTTCGAGGACGCTGCTGTCTAATATTTTCCAAGACAACGGGCAAACTACAGTTCACAGACCAGTCTGCAGTAACTATTCTTAAATCTTCCAGCAAGACTCTCGCAAAATGACATTCCGACCAAAGATCGATATTTTTTCCTTGACTTTATCCTTTTTTTATTTTAGTTGGCAGGCACTCAAAAAAAATGGAGTACATTGTCTTAAAATATTTATCATTATATCTTTAATTAGGTTACCAAAGTTCTTTATTCAAAATTTTCACGGAGTTTTTATTGGCAACATTTCTAACTGGCCAGTTCTAAAAACTTTCAGCGTCACCCCTAAATAAATTTCGGAATGGCGGGGAGAACTAAGTACGAATACAAAAAAGGAAACGGAAAGACTTTCCTGTGAGTTATTAAATAAGGGAATTCACCATTAATCCAAAGACCAACGATATATATGTATATACACTTGTTAATATCAAGAGAAAACTGTGCTAACCAATCGGTGAACATGAACACGGTAGTCGTATTTGTAATTCTAATAGATGCATAGCGCCTCACTTAAAGTTAAGTCTTGGGCCATCACTATACTTATATAAACTCGCCATAATTTTACGGTGTTTAAAAGTATTTATAATATAAAATTTTTATAATATAAAACATTTTTATCCATATATAAATGGCAGTATAATAAACATGATAATTATTTTACATCCCGCTTCAGTGATTAAACATCAAGCAATGTAAATCTTATCATTTAAACGAGCAATTCTTGTATATATATAATCGGAATCTCGGAAATGGCTCCAGCGATTTTCATGAAATTTAGTGCGTAGATTCGGGGGCGAAAAATCGATCTAGCTAAGTTTCATTTTTAGAAAATGTCCTTTCATCCCTGTTTTCAGGGAATGAAAAATATCATTCAAATATGACAGAAAATTTCGCTGAAAAACAAAATGTTATAATAGCTCGCTCGGTCGGTAATCGGGCGGCCCCAAAACAGACGGCCGCGGTTCGTATCACGATCATTTACACGCTTATTTTTTTTACTTTTTATCTATACCAGATCATTTTATTTTTTATTTTTTTATTTCTAAAATACATGATTTACCAAAAAAAACCGAGCAAAGCTCGGTCCACCAGGTACTGTACTTTAAGCGTGCTATCATAAATAATGTCTTAATATTGTGCAGCGATTGTTAGAAAAAAAACCATAATAATGCACATAAAATAAATAATTCTCTATTGTACCTTTTTTATTTCGCAAGTTCATTTAAAAGATAACATGAAAAGATTATACTGGAGCTCTTTTTTCACCACTATAGTACTTTGGGGACAAAATAAATGCAATCTTATTTAGAAATAATTACACATGCATAAAATATTTACTAAACCAATATAGCAAAATAGTTGATTTATATTTCATTAGCAAAGAAATGAAAATATTGACGACTGTTTGGATTTTTTGAGGAAGCAGTTTTAAATATACGAATGACAAATGAGAGGTGGCTCGTACTTGGGGGCCCTTGTGGCGCGTGTACACGTCCTCCTGCGCGACGAACACGGCGGTGGGTTCGAACTCGAAGGCCAGCACGTCGATGGGCAGCCGGCGGCGGCGCGCGTGCGCCTGCAGCGCCCCCGTCAGCAGACCTTGCGGGAAGAACAGCCCCGGGAGCCAGCTGCTGCCCGCGCGGCCCCTCTGCCACCACGACTGCGCGGTCCACAACATGGCCACTTGGTCAAGTTAGTATGCAATTCCAACCTTTTCACCATTTAAATGGCACTTTGTTGTTGCCACTTGCCTCTATAAAGTCCACGCGAAGCGCCAGGTCATGCAGCCAGCTGGCCAGTGATTTGAGCGAGTTGTAAGCGCGTGCGTGCCAAAGCTGCGGCACGCGCCCGCCGGCCAGCGCTCCGAACACCTCCTCCAGCGACTCGGACATAACCACCACGCCCTGCTTCGTAACATCTCATGACATACCTAATATAACCTAATCTCACCTCTGAGCTGGGGCATCAAATTATCAGTTCCTCCTATTTTACGAAGAGATGTTGCATCTCCTTGCTGTTTCTATCGGTCGTATCACGGAAGTGCTCCAAGGAATTGTCCGGATTGAAATCTTTCTTCCATATTGCCAGTTACCATCGACACCACCTTGATGGTTCGTCAACCACTGTGCGTTTGTTACGCAACTTTCTACCGCGCACGGAACGAGTTGTCGACAGTGGTATTTCCGGAAATATACCGCTGATGGACCTTAAATAGTAGAGCCTACCCCTACCTCAAAGGCCGGAAACGCCATTGTGACTCCTCCGATGTCGCAAGTATTCATTGGCGGCGGTGATCGCTCACCACCAAGTGACCCGCCTGCTCGTTTGACTCCTTGTTCCCTAAAAAGTAGAAGGCAGCTCGCGGACCTTAATGGCGCGCTGAAGCTCCCGCAGCGAGGCGTGTACCAGCGCCAGCAGAGCGTCATACCGCTCCACCTCGTGGTGCAGCACGGTGGCCAGGGAGAGCGGCTGTCCGTGCTCGTCCACCGCCCACACCGACTCGTGCGTCACCGACTTGTCGATCTATCCACATTGCTTTCACTTAGCAGCGAGCACCCAAATAGCACACCAGCGTATACATCAACAACCTCTACATCGCCTATATAATCATATATATAGATTCAATTTTGACAATTGCTTCACTTTACCACTTTATTCTTCCTGATCCTTCTTCCTCGAGTTCCCCTACTGAACTGCCGTCTAATAATAGTTCTGCAATTCAAACCTTATTTCAAACTACACCAATAATTTAAAATAACATCATATACGTCATTCGAAACTGTTATCGACTGTTATTGTTGACCGTTATCGACTGTTATTGAAAAGTGCAAGAAACTAAAATTCACAACTAAAACTTAAAACTCCCATATCTCCCGTTTGAGTGAACCGATTGAGATGAAACAAAGCCTAGATGTTGCCCCAAGCTTTGCTTAAGTAACGAGTGAAAACTGCATCAAAATCCGATAAGTAGTTTTCAAGTTTATCGTGAACAGACGGACAGACCGAGAGACAGAGAGACAGAGAGACAAAAATTCCAAAAATGGTTTTTATGTTTCCTATAACTCTTTTTATAATTATCATCCTATTTCATTTTTTCCTAAATATATTCAATGTACAGACACGCCGATTCTACTTTTTTATTACAGTATAGATGCGCACACTTTGCCCCATGAACGACCTATTTACTTTTTGTAGACGAAACAATAGCCTAGTAAGTAATTCTTTAGGTAATAATTAAGGTTATGACGTACATACCAAATATTACAATAAATGTATTGAGAAGCAACAGTGAGTATATTAACCATTTTAAAAAGATCTCGGAGTGAATTCCGGGCTCCGATATTGTATATTGCTCGGACAGGTCTTTTTTGAAGAATAAATATAGAATTTATATCTGATGCACTACCCCACAACAAAATGCCGGAAAGATGCTGTGAAAATAACTGAAGTAAACAAGTCTGGCAGTGTCGATGTCTGTTAGCTGCCTAAACCTTCTAATCATTGCACGAATATTGATGCTATTGGCGCTCAAGTTTTGTCCGATATAGCCATATAGTGATTCGATAGGTACCACGGAAAGATTGACAAAATGCGTAGAGAGTACGTGCGTGGGCACCGAAGCGACAAGTGTGCGACAAAGCGACAAAGGTGAAGAGTGGTGGCGAATGGCGATACACACGTGCGTGGCGACGGTGGCGAGGGTGGTCTCGCAGATGCGCCACACCAACACCTCCGGCGGTTCGGCGCCGCCGGCGGCGACGCGCGGCTGCACCTCCAGTAGCGTGTGAAGCAGCGCCAAGGTCTCTTGTCGCTGCGGGGCCGTAATGGGTAAATGGCGTAAGAGGCGCGCAAGGGGGGCGGCACAAGGAGTTCGCGGTGAAGCGGATGCACGTGGGCGAACGCTAACCTCGAAGGCGATGTTCGCGTTCTGGTGCATGCCGAACAGCTCCGGGGGCTCGTTGTCGGGCAGCGCGTCCACGTAGCGGTGCGCGTCTGCGAGGAGCGGCGCGCGCGGGCTCCGGTAGCGGCCGCACGGCGAGTACGCGTGCTCGGCTGAGAGGGCGGCGCGCGACACCACGCGCCTCAGCGCCGCCGCCAAGCACCGCTGGTCCCACATGTCGGTCACGCGACCGCCGTACGTGATCTCACCTGCCCGATTCAGACCGTATAATTGGCCTCCACTTACACACTCCTAGCTCCACTTTGTATTTGTTACAATCGTGTATACTAAATTCATTTGTTTCCTGTCATGAGTCCTACTAAAGTACAGGAGTTTTCATACTGCCTTTAAATATATAAAGGTATCGTTATTTTGGAACTAATTAACAACAAATTTGTTGATTTTCCTCTACTACCTTGATAGAAATGATATCTTGTAGTCTTGTTAAACCTTCCATTATACCATTGGTGCGTTCTGTGACCTTTTCAAGGCATCTGACTGTAGAGATTATACAACTCTTACACCCGGTTTCTGAAAAACTGATCATCCTACAAATAAACTAATTAGCGGTCAAATGGTTTCTCAAATGTCATTAGAATTGCCAAAAGGGTGGTTAAACTCTTTGAATCGATCACTTTAATTTATTTAACCAACTAAACATTTACTTATTTAAGGAAACTGAAATGAAAAGTTTCAGAAACCGGGCGTTAGAGACGACTACAAAGCAACGCTCGTTCTCAACACGTCTTTATTACCTAAAATTGTATCTATAGCTTCTATTGCACGTAATGTTTGTATTTATGTATAGCTGTATGTAGTCGCGCAGTTTTAAACTCATTAACATATGGATAGCCATTTCCTGTGGGGTGTCCGGGAAAGAATAGCACCCACACTATTCATCCCGAGGGTGTCGTAGGCTTTCAACTCGAATTACAAAAGCACTTTCAGTGCCTTGAACAATGCGAATCAACGGACGAGATGCACAATGGATTGGTGGAAGCTATCCACTCAGTGGGGTCTAAGTTATTTAAGCCCCGCGGCGGAAGTAACCTCAAAAGCTCTTCTCACAGACCTTTAAATTAATGAAAGATGGGACTGAGATTAAACTGCAAACTCAATAGACGAATCTCAAAATACATGCTACACGTTCGTCTGTTGGGTAAAGACTAATGACGAATCTGAAAATTGAAGATGGCAGAAAGGCAGTGTCAGCTCATCAAAACTGGACATTTTGAGAGAGCTTGAAAGGTTTTACGGACAGTTGTACACCTCGACATGTAAATCGATTGTAGCTAGTTTGACCCGACACTACACTATTCTCAGTGTCCACTATCCCAGACAACAGCCTGTACGAGATTACAATGGCTCTGAAACAGCTTAAGAACAACAAGGCACCGGGTGAGGAGGGAATCACGACTGAAATTTTGAGAGCGGGTAGTAAACCGGTACTACAAGTCCTCCAGAAGTTGTTCAATTCCGTCATACTTCAGGGTACCAGGCCAGAAGCATGGTATAGGAGTGTGGTGGTGCTTTTCTTCAAAAAGAAGAATTATACACCCATCTCGCTCCTCAGCCATGTATATAAGCTGTTTTCTAGAGTTATTAAATATCACATATACATTACGAATCGTCTTGAATGCAGGTTTGATGACTTCCAGTCTCCTGAAGAAGCCGGGTTCCGGAAAGGCTTTAGCACCATAGACCACATTCATACGCTCCGCCAGATTATACAGAAGATTGAGGAGTATAATCGGCCATTATGCTTAGCGTTGTGGACTATACAAAGCCTTAGATTCAATCGAGACCTGGGCGGTATTATATTATATACCTGGCAGTCCCTCCAGCGATGTCATATCAAATATATAGAAACGCCACCATGTCCATCTGTCTACAAAACGAGCGCGACAGGGAGACATCATTTCTCCGAAACTGTTTACGACCCCATTGGAGGATGTTTTTAAGCTCTTGGACTGGGACGGACTCGGCATCAATATCAACGGCTAATACATCACACACCTTCGTTTTGTCGACGATATAGTCATAATGGCAGAGTCGCTGGAGGACCTTAACACTATGCTCAGCGGCCTTAGTAATGTTTCCCAACAGGTGGGTCTTAAAATGAACATGGGAAAGACGAAAATCATGTCAAATGCCCATTTCGCATCCATACCAGTTATTGTTGGGAACGATACACTCGAAGTTGTCGACCAGTTAGGCAGGTCTAACTTCGACAAAGAGGTCACTCGAAGAATCCAACTCGGATGGGCAGCGTTCGGGAAGCTACGCGATAAGACAAGGGTTTATAACCAGTGTGTGTTGCCAGCGATGACGTTTAGCACTGAGACGTAGACTAAAAATTGACCTTTTGGAGAAGCTCAGATTCGCACGACGAGCTATGGAGAGCTATGCTCTGAATTTCTTTGCGAGCAAATTTTTTTTTCTAACAAAATCCGGAACGAGGAAATGCGCCGAAGAACCAGTGTCACCGATATAGCTCACCGGATAACGTAACGTTGGAAGGCCAGGTTCTATGTGGACCGATGACATCATAAGAGTCGCGGGTAACCGGTGGATGCAAATGGCAGTGTCGTTCGTTATGGCGTTCTAAGGGGGAGGCCTATGTTCAACAGTGGACGTCTTGCGGCTGATGATGACGATGATGATGTTAAGTACACCAATCTGCAGTGAGTCCGCGACTATATTTAAAAATAAAAACAGTTTGTATTATAATACTAATATTACCACCATATCAATAAATTTGAAATTTACCGTCGTATTCGAATAATATTTTTCATTCCCTGAAAAGTGGGATAAAATGACATTTTCTAAAAATGAAACCTAGTCAGATCGATTTTTCGCCCCCGAATCTACGCACATACTAAATTTCATGAAAATCGCTGGAGCCGTTTCCGAGATTCCAATTATATATATATAATAATAGTTAATAAGAATTGCTCGTTTAAAGGATAAGATTAGTGCGTCGCAATAAGAGGGCGCGGAGGAGATATTGCGCACTATTTTATTTGTTCGGTCCTCCGCAACTGGGCACAGGTTATACTTACTAGTGATGTACTCGAGTGCATCCCAAGGGATGTCACCGTCGGCGCAAAACATCTGTAGAGTAAGAATAGCGCACTCTCGATCACTATCATTAAACTCGTAAGAGATGTTCCAGCCCAGAGGTCCAAATTTCTTACGCTCTTGAACAAGTGCGTGGAATACGCAAATGCCAAATAGCAAAGTGCGCCAGTCCTGTTCCAGTACTATGGAAGTTTAATAAAATTAATATTAAAGTATTTAAAATTAAGCTTATTTGTCCTAATTTCAAATTTAAGTTCCGAAACCGACTCACCATGATTCTCGTAAAAATCAGCATCCATCTCAATAAGTGCTCTTTTTACATTGGCTTTTAATCCTTTAGGCGGTTCATTAGTAACTTTTACAGAATTTTGAAGAACTGAAACTGGAAACTTAGGAGTGGGCATAGAACTTAAAAAGAGGCGAAAATCTTCATGTGGAGCATTTAGGTCGTTATTGAGATTTGCCACAATCGCTTCGAGGCTTAGCATCCAAGATGCTGCTAAGTGACAATTCTGAAAAAAAAAAAGTTAAAGGAAAACGTATGACTACTCGAAAAAAATCTATAATTTTCAAGTCCTTTACCTGCAAAAATACCCAGTCTCCTTTTGGTTTAGCGTTGTTAATCATTCTTTCAGCGACAGGGCCTTGGCCTTGTCCTAAAGAAATAGAATTTAAACGATCTCTCATGCCCATATCTGTGGCAAATTTTTGGAATGCTCCAAATGGGTCTGAACCTGTGCTCAAGACGAACACCAGCGGCATTGTTGATGTCGTGTCTCCATATCTAAAGAATATTAATTTGCGAAGTGTTAAATATCGATATTACATTGCCATGAATGTCTTATTATCATTCACCTTCCTAAAGAAATTGCAAGGCCAGATATAACAAGCCATTTTGAAATTTAAATTTTGTTTATAGTGCTAATTTTGCACTTAAGATTGAACACGAATTCCGACGGGTCCGATTCCCACACATCAACTTGGTGTTTTTCCACGTGAAATTTAGGTTTGTAAAACGTCCTTACAACACAGGATAATGTTAGCCTAAAGTAAGAGCCATGTTTTTTCCAAATGATAATGATGAATGATTTCTCCCTCCATTTAATAAATAATGAAGAAACAGTGCTAGCTGTGGCAACATTCCGCTACAGTTCTGTCACATCGTTGATTATGTTTTATTCGACTATAGAGTTATTTGCTTCATGGCGACATCAACTATAAACTACCATAGGCACAACGCACTGTAGCTCTAGGTAGGTAGGTATGTAATATCTGGAACCTTGCTAATAAATCAATACGATGCGCAGACTCAAAACAGTTATTGGTGATTCGCTCAGTAGTTGTCGGCCCGGGTAAATCAATAGAGCTAAAAAGTTTACCTAGTCCTCAGTCTTGTAAGGGTATTTTAAGTGCGACTAGCGTTAAGTGCGACTGCGGAGTATACTCAACTGGTCAACTTAATTTCCTACCATGCGACAGCTAGGTAGAATTTATGCTAAGGTGTATCTCGATGTGCGTTTTTTTTTTCATATTTTTTTATTAATTATGTCTCTCCTGCATGTTAGTTAAGCTGACCCACCATATTAAGTCCTCCGAATCAAATTTTCCAAATTTAAGCATGCACATATTTAGTTGCAATGTTGCTTTTTCATTGTTGTATATTTTTCTATGTTAGTCAAAAGGTAGTTGGTTCAACTGATGTTAAGTGAAAGCTCTGACCATGGACATATACAACACCTGTTGCATATGCTGACACCTTTATAAAAAGTGGGGCTCGATTGTCACTAACCATCCAACTCACATTTGTCTTCTGGTAGCCTGATGAGCATTCCTAGACCATTCAGGCAATAGCAGATTCAGAGCGGCTTTACCAGAGTGAAAGAGACAACGTTAATCAAAGATTTAACATGTTAAAATATAACATAATTACTGGTAGGCCTGTTAATATAACATAATTACTGAGATTGCACTGTTGCATGAATTGGAACAGGCTCGTCTATGGAAGTATCATAGCCACACAAAAGACAAGCTTGAAGTGGAAGTATAATACTTGCACCATTTGTTTTTCGATCGAAAACTAGGGTGCATGTTTTTTTAAGTTGGAAATGCATTTGTAACTTCTGAGATGTCATAGATATTCATAGACAGCAGTATTCAACTTCAGGTGATTTGTCTGCTCATCTTTAAAAAAATGTATTAACTTTAGTTTTATTTATATTATAGCTTCAATATGATTTTTATAAACTTTAAGGTAAATTACTGTATAAAATATTATAATTTTAGGTCAAGGTGCATCGAAAAAAAAAGGGAAGGGCAGAAAGATGGTTGAGGAATCTCTATCCAAAATGGAGATTACCTTAAACAATGGAAATAAAATGCCTGCCTTCGGACGTAAGTAATACAAATTTGTTTTGTGCTTTTTGTTTATATTAAATAGTGTCAAATGTGGCTAGAAAAACACATTCCGTTTATATTAAAGCATAATATATAATATACCCCTAAATCAAGGATGAGCAACTTAAATATATTTATGCGGCCTGCCATTTCTAAAATTGAATTTATTTTATTGAATTTCTCCCATCAATATATTATTATAAAATTAATTATAATAAAATGGTAGTACATACTGAACCGAAATATTTTTTGTTCGTTTTTCTGTTCTTTTCTTGTTTGTTTTTACCTTGCATTAAAATTTGTATATGAAATCTTTACTTTTATTAATTTTATATATTTTTATTCTAATATTTATTATAAATAAAGTTTCGTAAATTATTAAAAAATTTGAAATTTATATTGGCCCATTGATTAATAAGGTTGCTCACCCCTGCCCTAAATGAACTTCATAAAGGAGGTTGCCGTGCCGACTAGCTTGTACTAGCACCATTAGCAAACATTTAATGAAAATGAACATTTAAAAATAACATTTGGAATTAGAATAACTGAAACATTCTAACATTTTCCAAAGTTATAGACAATAATAGAGAAATAGTCAGTTTCTAGTACTAAATTATGGTAGCGTTTTGACAATCACCGAGTAAGTGATTGAATAAAGATATTTCAATTAAATTGAATATATAGTATTTGTATAATGTTTGTCTATTTAGTTCACTCTTTAGTATGTTGTTTTCTGAATATGCTGAAATTGAGAGTCTTTTAATATTATACAGTTTGCTTTTTTTTTCAAGTGGGTACCTATAAGATCCGTGAACCTCAAGTAATTGAGGCAGCTGTTGATGCTGCATTAAAGGCAGGATATCGTTTATTTGGTATGTACACTTTTCTCTTTTCCTGTACATTATTCTACAATTCAAAATATTGTTACAAACAATACAAATTTGTTAATGTTTTGTATAAATATGTGATAGTTATATTTAGAAAATTGTGTTTTAATATAGTTTTGTTAATATTGTTACAGATAGTGCAGCAGTGTATGGCAATGAAGCGGCGCTGGGAGAAGCCTTTCGTAAATTGCTCCCCAAGTATAACTTGGAACGAGAAGATATTTTCATAACAACCAAATTATGTAAGCAGCAATTAATCAATATTTCAAAGTTTCATCATATGCTTCTATAATATTTTCCATTATTTCATTACCAATTGCCACAATTGGTACACTTCATAGCTGAAAAAAAATGTCATGTACTTTCTTGGTATGATTTTAGATCGATAGTTGAACTGTGATATATTAATATTAAAATAAAATTACATTAAAATACAATATAAAATACCCTCATGAAAATCCTCTTGCCATGGCTGTAAAGCCACTAGTGTTTTTTATGTTAAGTCATTTCATGGTAGATTTACAATTGCAATCTCTCCAATGAATGTCGCCAATTAAACGGTCATGTGAAGCCATTGGAATATGGCGGCGCTCTTATATCCAGATCGTTGCACAATTTGGCTGCGGTCAGTGGGCTCAGCTACTAAGATTAATCCTATGCCTAATCGTGTTTTTTTTTGAAACAGCGCCGGTGGACCATGGCGACTATGAGGTCGTCGAGAGCGCCTACAAGAAATCCCTATCAAACCTGGGCGTGGAATACGTGGACCTTTACTTGATCCACTTCCCGGGAAGCGTAAGACTTGCCCCAAGTGACGCGCGCAATCCGGAACTTCGACGCAAGACCTGGAAGGCGCTCAACGAGCTGTACGACGAAGGGCGCGTCAACTCAATAGGCGTGGCCAACTTCACCGTCCGCCATTTGCAGGACCTGAACATTAGGGCCGGCGGCGTGTTCCCGGTGGTCAACCAGGTACGTGTGCGGGCGGCGCGGCGCCGTGCTTCTTTTCATGCCAAATCAACGCGTCCCGTTTGGCGGCAGGTGGAGTGGCACCCCTACTTCCATCAGACGGAGCTGCGCGACTACTGCCGCAAGAACGACATCTGCCTGCAGGCGTACGGCTCGCTGGGCGGCGCGTCGAGCGGCGACAAGGCGCTGCTCGAGGAGCCGCTGGTGAAGGAGATCGCGGAGGGGCACAAGAGCGGCGCGGCGCAGGTGCTGCTCGCGTGGGCGCTGCAGCAGGACGTCGCCGTCATCCCCAAGTCGGCCACGCCGGCGCGCATCCGCGACAACATCTGCATCGACTTCAAGCTCACCGAGGCCGAGATCAACAAGCTCAACGCCCTCGGCGGGAACGCCAAGAAGTACGCCTGGGACCCCAAAGAGGTGCGCTGAATGTGTCCCCAAGCCGCCAAACGCGTCGCACCCCGACCGCCCAACCGGCTTGTCACTGCTCTATGTGCGACGAAATATTATATTAATCAACTAAGCACGTCGCAACGTCATCAAATACATCATACTTCCTCTTCTTTCTTCATAATTATTCACTCGGTAAAAAAATTAATTATTACTTGTGTAACTTAATAAACCACTTTATACTGATAAATGAGACAGTTTTTTTTTAAACCTAAATGGTTTATGGTTATTCATAATACTCTTTACAATCTATTGTTGATTGAACTAAGCTTCCGACAGCGTAAATACCGAACCAAGTATCAAAGATGTACCGCGACTTTGTTTAAGAACGCGCACTTTTCTGTTCGAAGGCGCAATTGCACCACTAATACTCTGATCTTCACTAAACTATAGTTTGATGTAGATGGCGTGTAGGTATCGTGCTACCCCCTTGTCCGGCCGCAACTGTTGCACTCGGCGACTGCTCTATGGCTCTCTCACCGCAGCATGCTCAAGTGGCCGACATCGCCTACGTACTTGCTTCACAATGTAGAGAATTGATGCCAATAACATGATTCCTATGATCAGTTTGCAGCGTGAGTGATGCACGTCATGGGTAGACTCGTGTCTCAATCCCATTGATCGAGTTCATGATATCTTTAAACCGTTTGGTCTAATGTAATGACATTGGTGTTTTGAATATGTGATTCATAGGACCAAGTTTTGCACCTCAATATCGGAACTTTACTTGTTTCAGATGTGTACCAACATAAGAAGAAATCAACGAGTTTAACTACGAAACCCGCACCCAATGCATATATCGCGCTGCATGATTTTCTTCGCACATGATCTTCGGACAATAGTTTCATTTGACGCTCATTTTAACAGAAGTCAAAATGATCCATAAATTTATTTAATCCCCGCTATGTATTGAAACACGGGCTTGTATGGGATGTTACCTAGTTCCTACTACTGTTCAACACAGGCTATGGACATCTTTTATATGATATACATGCTGCTCCAAATTGCATAGTATAAATTTTGTATTCTGTTGCGTACATTGTCTAAAATCGTTTTCAATAATTATATGAGTGCGTCTTTATTTAGATTAATTGCAGCATAATCTGCTTTAAACACTACTGTTGTGATATGATCGCTAGTCAAGAATGACATGGGTATCAGCTTAAAAAATTGATACATGTCTCTATTAATCGGAGGAATCTTAATTTCAATGATTATGATTAATTTTAATTTTAATCAAGGTATAATTTTACACAAAAAGATCTCAGTTGTCTCGGTATTAAGTGTATATTTGTGATTGAATCAAGTTAAAGACTTGACATGAATTGTTTTGCAGTGTTGTGATATTGTATAAGGCTTGCGATGATGGTATACAGACTAAGAAAAAAATACAGCGTGTCGTTACAACAACGACAATAAATGAAATTAAAATTGTATTAAACATTTACATTCTTTAAACATCAATATTCACCGAGTTATTAAATTTTCCAAAACAAACAATTTTACAACACTCTTACGCATAAAACTGTAACGTAAAGTTAAAGTTCATTTGTAAAGGTCAAAAATCATATGAATCGGTTGAATGAATTTAAAAGAGATGAAACATACTGTTAGAGGGAGAGACTTGTAAAGTGTGTTTAAACGCTGTGGCAATTGAATGAATCAGTCAGTTGTAGCTGTATAGGTGTTACAAATTTTGTTTCTTTTTTATTTAATTTGTTTGAAAACTATTTTTTTTAATTTTGTATATCTATCGGCAAGTAGCGTTAGACGTGTGTTCATTTATTGTCGCGGTTGTAACGACACGCTGTATATTTGGGTATGTTTCTAGTCCGTTATTAGGGTGTATTTATTTTCTTGCTGATTTTGCGCTTCTTATTGTTCACCTGTGTGAGTTTATGTTAATATTGATAGCTTGATAAGGCCGTTTTTGGTTTCGAGGTTCGGGTCCATGTTGGGATATCTTGATCTGCAACAGACTCTTAGTAAACCTTTTTTGTCTAATACGAGATTTAGACAGTATTTTACACTTCTAGTTTACATGCAAAGATGGATTACGATGAAGATCTTTGAAAGGAATCCATTGGCTATTGGCTTTGTCAGTATGTGCGAAAGATATCTTTTAATCGATATTTCATTTATAATTAAACCAAAAACGATGAGGCGTGTAATTGACGCCGTATATATATATATTAGTAAATAAGCGTCACGAACGACAGGGTGCAAAATTAATTCGGACTGAATAACTGAACTGAACTAAATGTATTGATTGTATAAGTCAAAGAATTAGGTGCTCTTTTCTAATGAGCAATGGGAAAGGCAAAATGAGATTGAAGGATTTCGTTGGTTCGTTCGGGATTATTTAATTATTAACCTTTACTCCGCTTCCTAAGTTGTTTACAACGATTCCTAAGTTCCGCTCACTCGAAATAGTGTCCAGACGATGATAGTACGCTTCTCTGTGGCAATTTGTTGAAGTGGCGATGTGCAACCCTTTACTATACTACCATTTGGCCAAATATTAAGTACATAATTATTATCAAGTACCGTTGTATTACTACATATCTACAAAAACTAAGTGAAAATGTTTAGGAGCGGAATAATGATAGTATAATATTAAATCCTTAAAGAGCATACATCACAAGTAATATATGGAAACAAATTTCTTTAAATCGTTTTCTATTTCAACAAGCGCTTCTGATAATATTACACGATATGTGTGTTAGAATTATTAATGTATAAGTTACACATGTTAAGTATTTCCACATTAAAACTGTAACTTTAACTAGATGTACGGTATGTTATAATCAGTACAGTAGTGATTGTAGACGATATTATCGTATGATTATATTATGCGCATTAAATTTATTAGGCTAGTTGCCTATGTGTGTGTGTGTTTCTTATTTGCCCCGCTACGCGATTTCCCGCTGTGCGTAAGCCGCGGCTGGTGCGAATCATCCATTCCCTCCTTGTGCTTCTCAAGCATCGCAGCCCAAGCGAACCCCTTTCAAATTAAACAGTAGTACAATAATTTATTCCAAGGACAGTTTTGCGGCGCCTTTTGGTCTTTCGGCCGCGCCTGCCGTTGCGATGGTGACGCACAATCACGTCGTTTGTTGCATTGTTTAGATATTGAGAAATTGTGAAATTGAGTTACAAAAAACAGAACAGACTTCAAAAAACCTCTAATGGGACTAAAAAGCTTGAAATTCAGAACACTGGTTCCTATAATAAAATGGGGCCCCGGCTACCTCTCTCGTCAGACGAAACGCAGAATTATATGGAATACTAGCTGCTGCCCGCGACTGCGTCTGCGTGGAGGGGTGAAAATTTAGGGTTGTATGTGTTTTTGTATGCTGTATCATAAAAAAATAAAAGCAAAAAATATTGTCCAAAAATTTAAAAAATATGTTAAGGGGGAACAGCCCTTATCACTTAGGGGTATGAAAAAGATAGTAGCCGATTCTCAGACCTACTGAATATGCATATAAAATTTGGTAAAAATCAGTAAAGCCGTTTCGGAGGAGTAAGGTAACTAACATTGTGACACGAGAATTTTATATATAAGATAACACTTCCACTTGACGCCGGTCTTCTGAGAGGTCGTCGTACTTACCTGACCTGCCCATTCGTGCAACAGCCGAAGCTGTTGTGTGGCCGTACCACAGTTTTTTTTATATCTAGCCAAATAAGCTCAGGATGATACGCAGATAGCTATAAAACGGTGAGTTTTGATGTTTTAAGAATTTTGCCTCCTTGATATATATATTGATTGAAAGATTTACGTATATTTCGTTAAAAAAATAAATGTTTTTGATTTTAGAACTATATTTTCTCATAGCCCTTAAGTGTTTTACTCATCATTGTAAACCATTCTCTCCATTAAAACATTCAAACTACATCTGCATCTAAAAAACCACCTTCGTTTAACATAATATAAATTTCGAGTTTTCCTCAGTTTAGTTCATTTTCTTTCCTAGGCCCAAATTTTGATGGTTTTTTTTAATGATCGACATGATTTTTTTTTAAATTTCTTATGTTCTCTGCTCATATCTCATTTGCGTGAAGTAAATTAGCCAAAAGAAGCAATACGTGTCACCAGGGCTGAATTTAGGTACGGTGAAAAAGATAATATAATACATTAAATGGGACATGTTTGTAAAAAATATATAAGTATCACTTTCTTATATTGATTTTAACATAGCAACGATTTTGAACACTTCTTTTAAGATTAACAGTTCTTCAAAGTTAGTTTCATCCTTAAAATTTAATCATTATCCTCAGTAGGAATAAGATCAGTACAATTCCCCTTTTTGTTACTGGCTTTGTTTGATAGCGTCACAAGACAACAAAATGGCGTCTATGGATTATGTACTTTTAGACACATATCAACTACATTTTCCCTGCCTATTAGGTAAACATGCAATTATAAACCTATACAAGAACTTTTTTTAATGTTAGATTAGCGTTGAATGTTAGTCATATCAGTTATTTATGCTAAGTAATGAAAATTATTTTTCGTCCTTTCCTTCGATATGGATAGTATAGTTAGCTTAGAAGCTTCGTGGTAGATACTCACAGAACTGGCAGGTGGACGGGAGGACTCTCGATGAACGCTGGACCCAAACTTAGCGCCACGTATTGGGTGATGGCGAAGACTAGTTTCTCCTCCATTAGACTTTTGATGAGCATCAGCTTTTCGAAGGGCGAGAGACGGGCGTCCCAATCGACCTTTGGTGCCCTCGCGTCGCTCTTGTCCACGTGGATGTCCTGTTGTTATTCAGAAAATATTATTAATATGGGAATTTCGATATTCCATCCAAGCCATGGGTAGTCGTAGTTGTATTTATCCAGGGTCGGTGCCTTTACACTTCCAATTTTTTTGGTATCGGGGTGAAATCTTTAAAAGATGTCACCTTAGATGACAGGGTCATGTGGGTTCTTACCCACTAAAACCCATTCGGTGGCCACCTTCTGTACATTTGGAGGGACTCCGGGATCTCCCATGGAACGCACCGGCGTCCCTCGGTACTACGCCTGAGCACGCCTCGGAGAAGGATAAACCTTCTTCGATGCCCTCGCCATTTTGCAGCAGCACGATACCATTTCGTGCTGCTGCCAATCCGTGTCCCCTTTTAGTCGCGCTTTTACGACAGGCAGGGGATATCTTAGCCCTATTCTATGAGCCCTGAACTACAGGGCTCAGGTTCACATTACCGTGGTACGGCGGCAAACCACGGCAGCGGGACCGGGTCCTTGCACGCCTCCATCGTTCCATGTTATACAACACAAGGCCTATAAGAGCCGTAATGCCATGCCTCGGGACGAGCCTAGAGTGAGCGAGGTAAGGGACGAGGTGGAGATTGGTTACCAGTGCGAGGTCTCCGAGCGTGATCGGAATCCGGACGAGGCAGTCGTCCGGCAGGCCGGCGAAGGAGGGCTCGGCGGCGTGCAAATGTTGCACCGAGAGCCACATCGCCTCCGTGAGCGCCTCCACGGCCGGCTTCTTGGCGACGGCCTGCCAATGCGTGCCAAACAGATAAGAGGCGCGTGATGCCAATGTGGCAGTGGTGGCAGTGGTGGCGGCGGTACCGAGTGCGCGGCGGTGGGCCCGTGCAGTAGGAAGTGCCAGTGGCGCGGCGGCAGGGCGGCCGAGTGCAGCTGCACCGCGGCGGCGAGCAGCAGCGCCAGCGCGAGCCGGTGGCGGGCGAAGAGGGCGCGCGACACGGCGCGCTGCGTGGCCAGCGTGGCGCGCGCCACCAGCGCCGCCACGCGCGCCTCCACCACGCCCGCCTCCGAGGGCTCCTCCACCACGCGCCGGAATATCTGCGCACGCGCGAACCGCTCGCATCACTCACGACGAGGCCACGCTCACGTCCGACCGGTGGGCCCTGCCTGAGTGAAGTAGGCGAGCGAGAACTGGTACATGGGGTCCAGGTCGGCCAGCTGCGCTATGGCGAAGTAGAGCAGGGCGCCGCGCGCCGCGACCGCGCGATATCGCTCGCGCGCCGCACCGATGCTGCGCTCCGTGCCCTCCGCCTCGTCCAGCCGGGCAGATATTATCTCGGACGTTTCCTGTTTTTACACATTTCGCCATTAGCGACATGCATGTACATTGTGCACGTATAAATGAAGGTTTTGAACGGCCGCCTGTCACCTTGCTCTCGTTCAGAGTCTCGATGAGCTCCTCGTCGTCGAGGATGTTCCCGGCGGAGGCGTGCAGCAGTTGCAGGATGCGCTCCTCGATGGCGAGCAGGGAGGCGCGGTCGGCGGCGATGCGCTGCGTCAGCTCTGTGCGCTGCCTCTCCAACTCGGGCCGCTCCAGGCTCACCACGTCCCTGAATACACACGATACGTGATACATATGCGTCATACATACTACACCAGTGGCCATGCGTCACTTTGGGATCGGTTATCACGATGGACACTACTCTCGCTTCTGACTATGGATTGAAACAAACAACCTTTTTAATTTATTTTTTTATATATTCAAAAAGGTTTATCTATAATTGTTGACACTGGATACTTCTTAAAGCTAAGTAAACTTAAGATTAAACATATATTAGTATAACAATAATAGTTAATAGCGTGACGGCCCGAGCCGAGGCTCCCCCGAGAGCCCTCGAGCTTAGTCACCATAACGCGTAATAATAATACGCCGAGGTTCAGGCTAGGCGCCTCGTGCGCCAGGCCACCTCAAGCCCGTCGGAACTGTAAAGGCCCCTAAGGCCAACAGTGCCTCATACAGCCAAAAAAAAGAAGTATAACTATTGCTTAAGGATAAACACATGTGCAAATAAAACTATAAAATTAATTCAAAAATAAATTTAATAAGTTAGACTAATTAATTAATTAATTTTTTATTGGTAATTATTCCTACAGCGGTGAGAAACTTTTCGTTCCTTTTTTCTACAAAAATTTAAAGTTAGAACAAATTTAAGAGTAGGCTATGAGCGGATAGTCGACATAATTTACTTAATAAAATTGCTTTTGACTAATTAGATAAATAAGTATACATATTTAATTTTTATAATCGAGTCATTGAAAATCAATGCGATCACTATGATCATTAATAATTTTACAAAGGGAGAGTTGCTATCTAGAACTGTTTGTCGTAATGGAGGACATGGCGGTGTTTCATCGGAAATGGGTTTGCGAGAATTCGTGAAGGAACTTCGTATCAAAAGGTATTCTTGGACTTACACACTTTGCTGTACGTACTACAAGAATTATTTGCTTTATATTTTAACGCACATCTCATTTCAGTATGTTAAATCAAGTTTTACAAAACGCTTAAATATACTGGCGGACCGCAAGTAGCGGCATTTGTAGTCAAAAACATGGTTTTGCTTTAAAATGTTATGATACATGCAAAATATACGTAATTACTTTTTCTATGACAATATTTTCTAATTAAGACATTTAACGCAGGACTATCGTCGTTATATGTCGCATATCGCATATTAAAATGTCGCTTTTTCAATAAACACTCAAAGGACCAGTGTCTCTTGAACAAGAGACAATTAAATAAATTGTCTCCATGTGATTTAATGTGTGGCGCTGTTCCTAAGCCATTGGCTTCGGTGGAGGGGCCGGTTTCAGCCACATACAATGGTTGGGGATAAGGGTATTTATGTCCAAGGAGGGTTGACATCAGTCTGGCAGCTGGTCGTAAAAAAAACTAACTAACGACACCGTTGACAAAATTATTTATATTCTCCGACCCAAATTAATAAAAATTAAATCTCGTTAAAAATTAAATTAAATCTCCACCAGATGGTAGGATAAGGGCAGGATAGAGAAGTGTACATAAACTGTGGAAAAATTTTATCGATGCTGCTTGGATTCGACTTAACGCGCCCAGACGCACTAACCACTGAGCTGTACGTTCAATAGGCTCACGCGCGAAAATGTGGACCTAAGATCCATGCACTCATGTTCCGTACCCCAAGGGTAAAACGGGACCCTATCACTAAGACTGTGCTGTCTGTCTGTCTGTCCGTCTATCACCAGGCTGTATCTGATGAACCGTGACGGTTGAAATTTTCACAGATGATGTATTTCTGTTGCCGCTTTAACAATAAATACTAAAATAGAATAAAATACAAATATTTAAGTGGGGCTCCTATACAATAGACATGATTTTTTTGCCATTTTTATAATGGTACGGAACCCTTCGTGCATGAGTCCGACTCGCACTTGGCCGGATTTTATTGTTTATTTCTCTTTAAATATAACTTATCAGTTTTCGACAATATTACCGTCGTTTACCTATGGGATGAAAATTATTTTTATTTATATTCTTATATTCGCAGACTCACCCTTTCGGTATTACAATAAGCGTCATCCGGCAATCGAAACACTTAATTAATAGCTGCCACTAGGTTTGGCATAATGTTTATACTACAATCGATCCTTTGGGAGAGGGAGATCAAACACCTTGAGGTCACTCTCGACTGAAAATGTCGTGTAATGCGCTCATTTAAAACGTTCGGAATAGTGTAGCGACCTTATGCCTGAGAGGAACTCATGAACTATGTATCGAACTCCAATAGCAAACTGCATAAAATTATGTTGACAAGGCTTGCGTGTACCCATAATGTCCCACGTTTGAATATCTTTCGTGCATATTTCCCCTAACACAACTCTGAAATAACGAATCTTCAGGTAGTGAAATTACGAGTTAATTAATCATTTCATTACGAGTGCGGAAAACCTGTCGTTGCAAATAGTTCCGACAAGTGTCTACTCGAGCCGAGGCGCAGCCGAAGGTGAGGGTTGACAGTTGACAGCAGACAGAAAAAGCTTGAGTGTGTAATAGCCCACAACCCGAACGCTATACGTCCCTATTACATGTATATAAATCAAGATCCTGACTCAACACGATTAAAAGTTATGGACACATTTAGATTTTCGCGAAAACTTATATTTACCTGAATTTTCAAATTTATTTTCACGAACTTTCCCTTCACTTGTGCTTTTATAGGTCAACCGGAAGTACCATATAGGTTTTGGATCGAAAAACTATATATTATATGACCAAGAACCACGAAATGAATCATAAATAAAATCAAATCGGCATATTTACAAGATCATTTTATATTTTGAATTTATTTTATATCACTAGTTGTTTTCCTTTATTAATCTGTTTTATTCTCAGTAAAGCGTATATGTCTAGCTATTGAGTATGCATATGTATTTGTTATGGATACTTATTATCCAACACTCCTCATCTATTAAAAATATCATTATAATAGGAAGGTAAATTTCGCTGCCAACTATAAAGTTGTAGTAACTCCGAGAGAAAGCTCCGGTTCGTGTCAAGATAATTTTTTTTTCGATTCCAGATGATTTTTTGTTCGAGTCCAGGTAAAGTTTTATTTCTTTCCCTTTATTTTTCAAGTTCCTTCTTTTGTGACAAAAACATCCGAGCAAGTCTCGGACATCCAGGTACTATTATTAATGTAAATACATTCCCTACTGATATATTTTTAAATCTAATTTAACTTTTTAAAATCAAGTCCGAGTTGGAATCGTTCGCGAAGGACCGTGTCATTATCTATAAAACGGCAAAAAATGAAGTCTGTTCTATGGGAGCCCCACTTAAATATTTTTTTTTTGTTCTTGTTTTAGTATATGTTGTTGTGGCGGCAAGAGATGCGGTGAAAATTTCAACTGTCTAATTATTACGGTTCACGGTTCATCGGCCTGGTGATAGACAGGAAAGAAAAGGCCCTTAGTTGACATTCTCTCTAAAATAATGCTAGCATGAGTTCCAAACTCTGGCTGGCTAGCCCACGAGTTTTTCGATAGATAAAGCTTTAATGGCTTTAGTTAAGGACTGAAAGTAATGATACAAGTAAAAGAAAAAGATATACGCACGCCAGTAACTGGTCCTCGAGGCCCGAGGGGGTAACGGTGAAATTGACGAGCGTGACCTGAATGCAGATCTCGGGCAGGTAGTGCGGGTTGGCCAGCTTGGTGGTCAGGTAGAGGCGGAAGTTCGGGTCGTACTCGATGTCGCTGTCGCCCACGTGGATCAGCAGGCGGCCGGCCTGCGAGAATCACAATTTACTCTTAACTTGTCCTATTCCCACGATGCAACGAATGCCGCCAACGAGCGCATCGCGACCTGGAGGAAGGTCTGCTTGAGCAGCAGCGGCGTGAGCACGGCGTCCAGCTCCTCGCCGACGTCCTCGAGCAGCAGCGGCCACCCGAGGCGCACGCAACTCTCGAGCACCCGCAGGAGCGCGGGCTCCGTTGGCTTTATCACCTGGAGGCCCGCTTCGCGCTCCATGTTCTTTATCCATCTGTTTGCCTGCCCTCGCAATAGAAACGTATTATCAATTCGCGCTTTATCTCCGCCGAACCCATCAGTTAGCTGGAGGCAACGGTGCGGACCTGTTGTTGCGGGTCTATGGCCAGGGGCCGCCGTCCCGCGCAGCACACGAGGGTCGCGTTCTCGGCGGAGGCGGCGTCGCGCGGCAGCCCCTGCGATTGCCACGCGAGCACCGCGCCGCCGCCCGCCGCCGTCCGCACCAGGCTGACACGCGACCCATGCTTATCACACATTCGCACTCTCTAGTCTTGTGCAAAAATCCAACTGAACCTGAATGCTGCTCTATAAAAGGATTGGCATAAACTTACTCGAAAGTTTCCGAGGCCGGAATATTGAGCTGGGCGCATTGGGCGACCCAATTGTGCTCCAATTCGAGTCGGTAGTGGGCGGGGAAAGCGCCGAAGTAGGCGATGCAGCCGGCCGCCACCAGGACGTCGCCCGTGGCGCAGTGCAACCGCTTCGAAGCGTCCTGCCAAGGCGGCGGGCCATCGGCATTAGATGGGCTCGTGGCCGTAGCGGTGGCGGTGGTGGCGCTCGTGGTGGTATGCAAACGTACCCGCACGCTGTTCTCCCACCGCGCCTGCTCGTTGGCCAGCGCCTGCGTGAGGCTGGCTGCGCGCGCGAGCCGCGCGGCCGCCAGCTGCACGTCCGCCTGCAGCCGGTCTCGCTCCTCCTCCACAGCCTGCGCTCGGCGGCATATTCTTTATTAAATATTGGCAAGCGAGCAGGCTGCTACACGCGAAAGTATATATTATACTTCCACTTCATGCCGGTTTTCTGTGAGGCCGTGTTATTTCTCCGGATGAGACTGCCCATAAGTTCAACAACAAAAATTTAACACCACAGTAAAATTTTTGATTTCTCTCTCACAACTTTCATTACTAACCGCAACGACTATCACGTTTACCCATTCCGTGGTTTACAGCAGATGTTTGGCACACTGTTTCCCATATCAAATGTATCTACGCGTTGAAAGAGGAGATACAAATAAAGTCCATCGGCTAGCGATGATCGCGATGTGAATCCAACATACAAAGGGCGAACGCACCCGCAACTCGCCGATCATAGCGGCGAGTTGAGCCTCGATGGCCTCCACCTGCCGCTGCTTGGCGCGCAGCTCGGCCATCACGCTCTTCAGTATGGCAGCCGCCTCCTTGTGCCTGACATGGTGTACGTACACGTTACAATGCACATGTCGAGTCGCATCTTCATGTTTTATATGAGCTATATATAACTGTTACAGTTACACTGCACATTAACTCTAATAATATGGATAAGCCCTTTCTGTCATGCTGTTTTTTGTGCTATTTAATTTTTATATTTATATTATTATTAAAAAAAGATGGAAAGTGTATTCCACGTCCAAAATCTGTACACAAAAATGCAGTCTTTAAAGGCAAATGATCAATGACCATGTGTCCTCGTAAAATTATTTTTGTAAACCAATACCCGGTGATGGCTTACTGCGCGAAGCAAAGGAAGATGTATTTTTATTCCGCATGTAGCTTAACCTTGCAATGGCAACCAGACGCCATATTGTCAAAATAACGAGTTTTCACCGTCTGTATTTTTTGTTTACAAAATCTACTGAATCGAATTTAAATGTCATGTATGTATGTCCATTAAAATAAGTGATAATAATGTTCATGATATAAATGTATCGATTAGAAAACTATTTCAATGCTGTAATTGTTCAGGATTACTTTTAACAAAGTTCAAATTACTGAGCTTGTTAGGGTTCTGTACCCAAAACGTGACCCCATTGCCAAGACTCCGCTGTCTGTCTGTTCCTCTGTTTGTCAGTCTGTCTGTCGCCAGACTGTATCTCATGAACCATGGCAGTTAGACAGTTGAATATGTGTATTTTCACAGATGATGTATTTCTGTTGCCGCTATAACAACAAATACTAAAAACAATAGAAAAATAGGTAGGTCCCAAACAATAGATATGATTTTTTATCGTTTTTATAGATGCTAGATATTTTTATAAATGGTGCGGAACCCTTCCTACGCGAGTCCGACTCACACTTGGCCGGTTGCTTTTCTTTTGTTTTAATTTATTTTAGGTATTTTTTAAGTTGTTTTACGCAGTCACGATTGTGGTTTTTATACAGCGTGTCTTTACAATCGCGACAATAAATGAACACACATATAGAGGATAACTTTTTAAAATTGTATTAGACGTGTTACACAATTACGCATCCTGGAAATCGCCTACATTCCATTCTCAAGAGATTGCTTATTGCGTGCTACGTGCCGTCGCCCGTAATCCCACGGATACGAAGTGGTTGCGCAACACAGGGACCGTCCGAAGCATCGCAGCGAGCGTCACTTTTGTCTCTCACATCGAGCAACTGTCACCTCACTTAGAAATGTAGTTAACTTGTAACTTTTTATATAATAAAATAAGTAGATTTAAGTATAACTTTGCATTTTTTTGCATCCTCCGGCCGCAGCCTTCGTAATCGACGTTTACATTCTTTAAACATCAATATTTACAGAGTTATTAAATTTTCCAAAACAAAAAAATTTTGAACGTATAACACTGTAAAGTAAAGTTCATTTGTAAAAGTCACAAAGCATATGAATGGGTTGAATGAATTTAAAAGAGACAAGATATACTTTTAGGAGAGGCTTGTAATGCGACGCTGTAGCAACGAATGAAAAAGCCTCGGAATGTATGAATCAGTCAGTTGTAGTTGTATAGGATATTACAAATTTTGTTTCTTTTTTACTTAATTAGTTTGTTTAAAAAATATTTTTTTTCAATTATGGATTTTTTTTAAGTTAATATTTTTTTATGATTATTGGCAAGTAGCGTTAGATGTGTGTTCATTTATTGTCGCGATGGTAACGACACGATGTATAACTTTTTTTTATTTTGATCATCAATTCGTTATCAATTCACCATATCTATCGCCAGAGCTTGTGACTTTGATCTCCGCTACAGGAAAAAGCGTGACTAAAATTTACTAAGAACCTAGAACGTTTTTAGTAAACTTGCTCAATTTGGTACTACAGATAGCAGTGTACAAGAATTTTCTGAAATATGTCATTGTTGTCGCATATTGATTTCATAATATACTCACTTGATGATCTTCGGTTCGACTACCCTGAACACCTTGGCGTACATATCGATAGCCTGCACCCACAGTACCATGGAGCGGCACACCTGCGCAGATTTAACGTTTTTCTCACCATACATACTAACATCGTGTTAAACTGCTTTGCGACAACTTATGGTTAATGGAACAAATGTGTTATTGGTTAGTGGACCTTTGAGACTTTGACGACAGTATCCGGGTTGAAATCCTTGTGCGTGAGGTAGGTCTTGATCTTCTTGAGGATAGCGTCGGGGATGTGGTCTTTATCATACTCCTGCAGGTTGCGGATGAAGTTCACATCCGCCAGCAGCTTCTTGGTCGAGTCCCAATTAGGTCTAGAAATTTAATGTAGAAGATGGAAGAGAAGTATATAAATCTGTGACCTTATAGTGCTCATGCATCGGACAATTTAAATTTTACAAAACTTGACTGTAGCCCGTCCTAACTATGACATCGCAAAACATCTCTATCTCTCCCTCAATCGTGTTATTAGAATAAATGAAATTATTTGAAAATTTCCAAAAGCTCACTTGGCGCCGAGAAGTATACACACGGGCTCCATGACGAAGCGTACGAGGGCGGGCGGCTTTTGGAACGCCTTCAGCTCATTGATGTCGCTCTTGTTGAGCGCCTTGAGCGCCTCCTGCGCGGCCTCCATGGCGGGCATGGCCAGCGCCAGGTCCGCTTTGGCCTCATCCGCGATCTGCCTCACCTCCTCTGCTTTCGTCTGAAGCGATTGTTCCGCTTACTGTCTAATATTCTCTTCAAATCACTAAATGTAACACGGCGGCCACCTTGGCGTCGGCCTCATCGGCCAGCAGGGCTTCGCGCACTAGGTCCGCGGCGCGTTGCTCGTCGCGCAGCCGGGCCGCCAGGGCGGCGCCCTCCGCCGCCTTGCGCGCCAGCAGCGGCTCCATCTCGCGCACCGCCCGCTCCATACTGCCCACGGACTCGTAAGCACTGTACAGCTTCTGCCGAAACGAATGCCCACTGCCGAGTCACCACAACCATTCATGATGACCGCATGGGGGCAAATGAAAACCAAACTGCTCCAGTCGTTACGAACCTCGAGCCCGCATGAGACACGGTCGCGGCCGAGAATGATCTCTTGGCGTTTGGTGTCGAGCAGCGAAAGGTAGAGCTGCAGCAGATCTAGGTAGCTACTGGGCGTCGAGTAAAAATGCCGCCGTAACTCCTCGTACAACCGCTCCGACATTACATCCACGTCCTGCGCATCATACAGATAACAATAACAAGTTTAGAGTAAACTAATAGTGTTATTGAAAATACTAATAAAATCACCCGCATTTTAAATCGATCTTAAATTTGTCTTTCTAATTATTATGTTTCTAAATTCAATACAAATTATTGTGCCTGGTGCATGGAGACGCAGACGCTAGAGATGGCGTCGATGAGGCCCGGGTCGCCGAGCGATACCAGGCTCTGGCGCGCCACGGAGAGCAGCGCTTCCGGCGGCCACTTGGTCAGCCAGTCAATGGTGCAGCAGTTCACCAGCGATGGGAACATGCGACATCGGCGTCTGCACGGCAATACTCGTCCAATCACAATCAGTCTCAGACGATTATCCTTTACGAGCATAGTGAATAAATGAAACAAAACGGATCGAAAGCCGCTAAGATCAAAATGCTTATCGTCATCATCAATAGCGGGGTGCACCTGAAACCGTCACCGACGGGGCTCATGCAGATGCATAGGTGCAGCTTGGCGCGCACGCGGTTGATGAAGAAGCGGTAGAGGGCGTCGCGGTCAGCCATATTGACGCCGGCGCGTACCGCCTCCGTTGCGCATCCGGACTGCATCTGCTCGTAGGCGTCACCTTCCAGCAAATTATTCACCTCACCTGTCGCAAAATATCGCGAAGGAAAACTTTGTGAGGAAACCTGCATATTTTCAAAAGAATAATAATAAAAATAAATATTTCAAAGATAATTAAATGAAATCCGTCAATCTCAGTGGGCCGTGGTGGACTGTGTTTTGTTACCCTCTGTACAGAGGAGGCCTTTGCCCAGCAGTGGGACATGTATAGGCTGATTACTTTGCTACTTTTTAACTGTAAGCGGGTTATTTTTCATGCATTCTTTCATTACCTGCATATAATCGGGACTGTCTTGGATATTTCTTCACTGCGGTTTCAATTTGAGAAAAATCTCTGACATTGGTTAGGTAACTATGTGTGGGTAACAAAAATTTTGTTTTATTTTTTTTTTCAAAAAAGGTCAAACATGATCATCTAAGTATTTTAATAGACAAAAACGAACTTCGTGGGCAACTTTTTTTCAAGGTTTCGTACCTTAGGTATCGAGGCTTCCATTAGCGCTTTATTTATATCCATGGCGACTTTTGAGGATAATACAATTTTGAGTGAAGGAATCGTTTGAATATTTATATGTTGTTTTGTCTTCGTTTTTGCTGGGATAAAAGCGCGCGTAACCAAGACAAAAAAGACAAATAGTTTGACACTCTCCACTCATTTGTTAGCGCCTGACCTCTTAGCTCCCGCCCCCACTCCGCACCCTTGTAGCCGCAATTTTAGAAGCACCCTGCTGTGCACGTCTGAAAAGGCTCGACTTTGACGGCATAGCCCCTGTCGAACACACGCACTTTCCCTATACAGAGGGACACTAATCGGATGTGCTTATTATTGCAATAGTCAAAAATATCAACCTCTCCGTACGCGATCCTGAAGTGATCCACGAGCTTCACTCAGATCACCGACCAGTCTAACTTCGGCTAGGGCCCTCAGCAATAGCCGCTGTACAAACCAAAACACTCATCAGCTGGCATAAAGTCAAGTCCAAATTTAACGACAGATTAGTTTCGTTCGCCAATTAGATCAATCCCCGTTCAACTCACTAACAAACAAGATACGGAGACCGCAATTCGGTAACTCATAGGCCACGGCCACACCGTCGTCGAGACTGGTTCCAGTGGAGGATGACCACTGGGTTCCTTAAACACTCAAAAACCACCACTCTCCCAACTTCACCGCATCACGGAGCGCTCTTCCTCGATGTGGCAAAGGCCTTCGATAAAATCAGGCACAATGGGCTCGTATACTAGCTATATGAGTGCCTTCCTAAGTAATCGTTCCTTTCGCTATCGCGTCGATGGCCTGTGTTCTACTGTGTTGTGTTGTTTAATGATAGAAGCGTTGCTAGATTTTCTTCCCCCACTTCTCCCACCGCCATCGCTTTCCGAAGTGGTAGTAATGTTAGATCTAAAAATTCTTCCAATACGATAATAGCTACCGATCGAGCTGAGGTCCGGCCCTCTCTAATCGGAATGCTAAACGGGTATTGAATGACAGCCCAAGCCGAGGTCCTCTCGGGGGCCCTTGCACCTAGTCCCCCCCTCCATGAAGCGTCCACCACATCGTCCTAAGAGCTTGGTGACCACTCAAACCGGTAATGATAATAATAGTGTGACGGCTCGAGCCGAGGCGTTTCCATTTTGCAAATAATATTAGCCATTTAAATTCTAATTTATTTTAGAAAACGCTGGTCAAGACCTTCAGATTAAGTTATGTTGCGTATCATAAAATATATTCATTTTCAAAGTACAATAATTCTGGTGCCGTACCGGAGTTGAGCATGTTGTTGACGTCCTCGAGGAAGTCGTCCCGCGAGAGCTGCGTGTCGGTGCACAGGAACACGGTCTCCTTGAGCGCCACGCCGGCGCTCATGTACATCTTCAGGAGGTCCTCGTGGAACTCGGGGATGTCGTAGTTGCGCTTCACCTCCATACCCATGCACCTGCGGCACAACGCGCAACCGTTGTAGCTCGCTCGGCTGCGTGTGCGTGTACCCGTACACGGGCGTCAGTGCTATGTGTGCGTGGCACCTGCAGTCGTTGAGGTGGGCGGCGAGGGTGGCCACGCTGCGCCGCCCCGACCCCGCGGGCCCCACCAGCAGCGCGTGCCCCCTCTCCGCGCGCAGCACCCGCGCCACCCGCGCCGTGTGCTCCGCCATCTCCCTGAACACCACCAGCCGCATCTCGGCACGAGCGCTCGAGTTGTACTCGTCCAAGTATTCCTGTCGTCGTAGTGCACATTTTGTCAACAATGGCATAATGGCATGTGTGTGATTGCGTATAGTTTCTGCGTTCATTATAGCCAACAACAGAAAACGCAGCTGCTTAGGTATGTGTAAGGTATTAAGTTGTCAGGATAAAACGAATTTTTGCATCCACCTAAACAACATGGGTTTCTCGCATTATATTCAGTACCCGGAGGACCGAGCAATATTTTTTTGGTAAATCGTGTATTTTGGAAATTACATTTAGATACAAATTACTGAGTAATGAAATATGCATAATATTTTTCGATCTTACCGACGTAATAATAAGAAAATATGAACTGATGTTTTTCACAAAAGAAAGAACTTTAAAAAAAAATGGAAAAAATAACAAAATAACAAATCGACAAAAAATTAAAAATAAAGAAAGCAATGATCTGGAATCGAAAAAAAAGTAAAAAATTAATGTGTAAATAATGATCGTGACGCGAACCACGGCCGTCTGTTTTGGGGCCGCCAGATTACCGGCCGAGCTATTATGACATTTTCTCTTGCGGCGAAATGTACCCTCATACTCGAATTAATTTTTCATTCTCTGAAAACAGGGATAAAAGGACATTTTCTAAAAATGAAACCTAGCTAGATCGATTTTTCGCCCCCGAATCTACGCACATACTAAATTTCATGAAAATCGCTGGAGCAGTTTCCGAGATTCCGATTATATATATACACACACAAGAATTGCTCGTTTAAAGGATAAGATTAATGTACCATGTGTGTCGCGTCAAATTCACGACACAGCCACACCTAATATTTTAATTTTTTTTTGCTTCAAGATAAGCAAACCCTAACGTTAGAATCAACAGATGATGTAAATATTGTATATGTAATTCATCTGATATCCGAACGTGAACATTATAACATAAGAGAGAGTATCAAACGCGAAGGAAATAATATATGATAAGATATATGAGTAACGAAAGGTTATGTACTATGGCACATAGAAATTAGCAATAATTACGTATAATTTACACGATCTTGAACGGAGTAAATAAAAACCCAATCCAACCGTATCCATTCAATACAAACCTTTAGGACCGCCATGAGCTTGTCCATATCGGGTATCTCCTGGTAGACTCTGCTCTCCTTCGGCAGAGATGGATTCATAAAATCACCAAACAGCAGCATCGGGGGCTCCTCGATCAAATCGTGCTCCGGCAACTCCAGCACCGGCGACTTGAAGTACTTCTCGCAAACTTCGCTCATAATTCTGAAGAAGAAGCTTTTGTCCTCTACGCTTATGAGCCGATCGTGGAACACCCGCAAGCATTCGTGGTAGAACAATCTAAGAAAGTAGAAGAAGAGTTGTTGCACGTCAGCTATTAACAGCGAGTAAGCGAGATGGTCAATGAACGGAGGTCGTGGTGATGATAGCGGTCGCGCCCTCTCACCGGAGCATGTCCCGCGGCAGGCGCACGTAGGCGGCGTGCGCCTGCAGGGCCCCCTGCACGCACTTGGACAGGTCGCGCAGGTTGAACACGTAGTGGGCGCGCGCAGGCGTGGGCAGCAGCTGCGCGCACACGCGCGTGTACACCTCGACGGCGGCGCGCACGATGCCCACGCCCAGCGTTGACACCTCGGCCACGAAGTCTTCCATGTGCCCGCACAGAATGGCCTGGTCATAACGAGCGAATGGCCGATTCGGCGTGGAGCAAAATGGGATCAAACAAGACGAGCCAATATGACGTGTACTGTGGTGAAACCTGAAAGATTGTGTTCATGGCTTGTACGTCCGGCGCCGCCACGTGTAGCATGGCGAGGTGACGCACGAAGCGCGGCGTAAGGGGGCTGCGACCGCCGCTGGGCGGGGCACACGCCGCCAGCAACACCACGTCTATGATTTCTTTCCAGTACAGTTTGTCGCGGTCGTACCAGCCGCCGCTGTCTAGGAATTGTCTGTAAGTGTATGATATACATTTGGTTTCTATCGATCACTTTCTCGATGACACCAATAGTGGTATGTCATTATTTGACTGGTAATTATTATTTTTTTCCAATATTAAATCTAACTCAAAAGTAAAAAAAAAGTAAAGACATGTGCCATTTCATTGTTGTTGACAAACCGGTGCCCCCAGACGGTTACATTGTCAAGAAATAGATGGATAGTAAAGCGTGAAGCCATTAGATAGACGTTTAGAAAATGGGCAAGTTTCATATTACTATCTAAAGATTGCAACATTTTCTCTACTCTCTGCACCAAAGGAACATCCCACTGTTTTTTTTTTTCTGTCAATCAGTTAAAACATTCACAAGGTTTTTTTCGGATTTTTAAGTCTTAATTGGCTCACCATAATATTCACTGTAATAAGAAAAATACATATCAGCCAGTATAGTGGTGTCAGTTCTGCAGTTGGCCGCAGTACGCGCACCTGAGCAGCTCGATGGTGGGCTGGGCGCCGTAGAGGTCCGGGCGTGGCATGTTCACGTCGTCCACGAACACCAGCACCCTGCGGCCGAGCGGCGCGCCCAGCGCCCTCCGCGGCCGCTTCTCCAGCCGCTGCTCGATCGCCTCCTGTTCGTTACACGCGCCCCTCATCATTAACATATTTTTAATTCTTATAATATTATAATACGAAACGGTACCGCGTGAATAGCCTGTCTTATGACTTTGAGATACTTTATAAACAAAACTACGATAAGTCGTTTGATTCAATGGCAAAGAAAACATTTGGAAACCTGTGTTTTTCGGCTGCTAGTCTGCGCGGAGAAGTTGAGTGTGACCGGTATATAGGGCTCGGCGGCGGCCATGCCGTTGAGTACGCCCAGGATGATGCAGGTCTTACCCACGCCTGCAAATTGAGCGCCGCTCATCATGCGGTCAGAGGACAAGAAGACGAACGCCCAGTGGGGACGGCGTGGGCGTGGGCGTGGGCGCACCCGTGTCGCCGGTGAAGATGGCGGGCATTCCGGCGGCCAGCCAGCGGCCGAGCAGGTGGCCGTAGCGCGCCGTGTCCACGGTGGGCACCAGCGTCTCGAAGAAGGGCCGCGCCGGGTCGTACTCGAAGGCGGCCGTCGCCTCGGCCCAGGGCCGCGCGCGCCTCTGCCTCGTGTCCACGTACACCTCGAACATGTTCACGCCGTGCGGGCAACTGCGACACGTTTTACCACATATGCGGTTAGCATCTATGTCACTTTGATCGTATTCGATAGAGTATGAAATCGGTCGCACTAGTCGCCCTCCTCGAACGCCTCGAACTGCTGCCGCAGGAACTGGTCGAAGGGGCGGCGGTGGTGCTCGAGCAGGTTGCCGCCGACGCCCCACGCGTAGCTGAACTGGAAGCAGAGGGCGAGATAGCCCCTCAGGGCCGCCTTGTCCGCGAACCGCTCCCCGGCCTCCGAGAGCAGGCTACCCAGCAGGCTGCACATGGCGGCGATCTTGCTCTGCTCCACCTATCCGTGCCGTGGCCACACGCGCTATTTTGTATTTACACCTATACGTTTCATGTTTAAGACGTCCCAGTTTACTGAAAAGTCATAAGCGGGAAATCTTCAAAATAATATATCTAATATTAATTTTAATATAGACATTTTCCATCAAATAGATAAAAAAAACACGTAATATTTCTTTCATTTAATTAAATGGGCCCTGGCTGACTCACACACCAGACGAAACGCAAAGTATATAACCTCTGCTTCATACAGGTCTTACTTGAGATCGTGGTAATTCGAAACGAATAAGCAGGACCGGATGGTCCTGCTTATTCGTGCAACAGAGAAGGCTGTTGCGTGGCCCTACAAGTTGGAGAATGTCGACGACTATATTTACACACACATAAAAACTAGATGCCTTAGTTTAATATCAGTAAATGTCGATTTGAGAAATATAGTTTTTTATAATATCCCCGGATTCTAATTACTATCTAATATAAAAGAGAAGAAGAGTTTCCATCACAAATCACCTGGTGTATGCCGACGGCACACTTCTGGTTGACAAAATCTAACCCCTCGGGCACCATTAGGAACATGTCACGAAGGAGGGGCGCGTGCTCGGCGGCGAGCAGTCCCCGCGCCAGCGCCGCCTCCACCCACGAGCGGGCGTACGGCATCACGCCCAGCTCGTTGGGGTCCACGTACACCATGCCGCAGCGCGACACCGTGGCGGGCGACGCTTGCGCCAAGTCGCCCACCTGCCCCCACCCGGACGACATGATACTTTTGTGTATCCACAGGCATCTCAATTCCTACCAATTAGACAAGTCTCGAAGGACGCACCTCAAACAACATGTGCACGTAGGGCGTGAGCTTGATCCTCTCCGAGTTGGCGAGGCACAGCATCTTGTTGTCATCCAGCACTGTGTTCATGTTCTCGATCCACACGGCGTCCACAGGGCCGTCGCAGATGAGCCACTGGTGGTCCGGACGGAGGGACTGCACCGCGACGCGCAGGCTGAGGGGCAGCACGCCGTCGTGCCACTCGAGCGTCTGCAGGTCCACCTCGCCGTACAGCTCGCCTATGCTCAGGCACTTGGGGTTCATCGAGTACATGTGCACCGGCTGGTACTGAGCGCCCTCCGCTCCCTGCTGGTGGAGCCGAGTGTACGTCTCGCCCAGCACCTGCGCCCAAGAGTAAACAACGCGCCCCATTTATGCAGATGATGCAGACGCGCGCAGTTACACGCCCATCGGCAGCAGCAGAGGCACTCACGTGCAACACCACCGTCTTGCCGCCGCCCGTGGGACCCACCAGCATCACGCCCCAACGCACTATCATGGTCTCGTGCAGTTGGATCACCTTGCGCACCTGACACTCTTCCACCTGCAGATTTCTTTCCAACAAAATGCTCTCTGCAAAAATGTTACATGTGTCTATATATCGAGAGGAAAATCTAAATAAGAGTCTTAATAGAAATAGATACGACCTAGTCATCTATGCATCTATAAATAATGGAACGTCTTGGACACAAACTGACCATTGATAATCACGAGACTACAGCGCCTGGAAAATATCTTCACAAATTAACAGAGATTTGTTTCTTTCTGGTACATTATAAGCTTAAATATTGATTGCGGATGCGTGAGCGTGTGTTTGTGTGCGAACAAAAATGTTAATTATGGTATGCATTACTGCAATTTATTATTTTCAATTTTAATCGGCAAAAGGGAACTTGCAAAAGAGTAGTTAGGCAAACATATCTTCCTTCATATTATGCGCTTCAACAGTACTCACTGATGGCCTCCTCCATTACGCCATAGTCCCTGATGGGAAGCTGGAGACCGGGGAACAGGTCTGAGAGGATTCCAGAGAAAAGCAGTGCGTCGGCCGCCAAGAACTTGGGCAAGTTGCTGTCGTTGAGGGCGCAAAGCAGCGTTAGGTCCTCGTGTTGATCCGGATTGGCGCGCTTAAGTGCGCCTGCCATCACCTGTGCACACATAGGGCGTCCCATTTGCAATTTAAACATTATATATGAGGAATGTGTTAATTAACTTGGTGACTAATATTACTTAACGTAATTCGATAAATAGACAATTAAAAAATGTGGCGTTCTCAAATATGAGAAGTACATATTTATTGGCGCCCGTGGGCGGGATGCACTTTAACGAGTATCATGAGATTAATAGCATAGTAACCAGGACGCTCTTGACGGCGCGCATGCCGAAGTCGTAGTGGTCCTGCTTTGAGAGTTGCTCGCTGGAGAGCTTGTACATCTGCACCATCTTGCGCGCCAACACCTTCGAAGACTCGAAGCCCTCCGAGTAAAGGATCACCTCGGCGATGAGTGCTGCCAAAACATAAATAGGCTAGACAAAACTTAACAACATCGTCAATGCACGGTGCAAAGCTTCGTTACTCGTTTTCTTCATTTAATTTAGGGGCACTTTGCTACCTTTCCTGTGTGCCATTTTTGCGCACTACCTTGTCTTGTCCTTGACTCCACATGAACTGCGGCGCTAGTAGTGAGTGAGAGTGGTAGCCCGTACCGTAGTCCGGGACCATCATGGATATGGGCCGGAAGAGCGCCTTCAGGTTGTCGGGCAGCTCGGTGCGGCCTGCGTAGCCCGGGTTCATGGTGATGAAGGCGGCACACGTGCGCACCAGCTTTATCTCGCGGCCCTCGAACATGAACCTGCCCAAACGGGTAACAAATCAATGGAAACTGAATGACGTCGTAATGAATACGTCGCCGACAAGCGTTTGCAAGCGTCACCTAGAGAGCCTGGCGATCTTGGCGTTTCGGATGGTGATGAGTTGTTGCGCGATGACGGACAGCACCTCGATGTCGATGCGGTTGAACTCGTCAAAGCAGCACCACGCGCCCGACGTGGCCAGCCCCGAAAAGAAGCGGCCCATCATTTTATAGTCCAGCCCTGTGCGCCACATCAATCAAATTAATATTCAAAACAAAACATGAGAAAATGAAAGACGGGTGTCTGTAGCCTTAAAAATTACATCAAATTCGAAATACCTCATCTACTTAGATATATCCGACAATTGGAAAGAAGCACGTCCATTTTATTAAAAGGTGGCAACACATCTATAACCCTACGGGTGTTGCAAATGTCCATGGGTACCGGTTAACACAACACCAGGTCAACCGCCAGCTCGATGGCCACCTTCTCACAGAAAAAGAAAGAATAATGTCATTATATATCATTTTGAAGACGAAAAACTGCGAAACGACGCTACTTATAGCCTATATAAAATATTGTACAGTAATGTAAATGTATATAATGATGTAATGAAACCAACTCTAAGATCATTTGCTGGCCATGGTGAGTTATTTGCTTACGTAGTAACGTATCATCAGCGCATAGCATAGGTTATCTTTATTGTTTTTTTTTCTATGTGAAAAAGTGGCAAACGAGTTGGTGATTCCTCTGATGTTAAGTGTTAACCGTCGCCCGTGGACATTTGCGACACTCGTAGAGTTGCAAACGCATTACTACCTTCAAATAAAATGGGCCACGGCTACCTCACTCTCCAGACGAAACTCCTAACATCGATTATGATGATGTAAGTGATAATAGAATATCTTAGAACACTATTTCAAAATTGATATAGAGCAAAATGATACTGATTATGTGATATTTATGAAATGATAATTAGGTATTATATTTTTGACAACGCGTGGTTTTCTTGATGACCGAACGTGAACTGACTGTTTGTTGCGGTATATTTTAATGCTTAAAACGCATTGATGTAAATAAGCAGAACATCATAAGAGTTGCATAGTTATAGTAAAACAATTGTGAGAGGAAATGACCCTCAGAGCAGTTGAAGACGACGCACTGCACGGCGACCGCCTTGGCGAGGTCTTTTGTGGTCTCGGTCTTGCCGGTGCCCGCTGGGCCGGCGGGCGCGCCGCCCAGGTCCAGCTGCAGGGCGCCCATGAGGCACAGGTAGCAGCGGTCCGTCAGCGGCGTGATCACCAGTACACCTGTTGCATACATTCGTCACGTAGGCAGAGCCAATGACGAATGGCAAACTCACGATGCCGGCGAAAATGCATCACCTCCAGCCCCCAGGTATTCGTGGCCGTAGGAGTATGTGGCGCTCGACATCTTCGCCACGCAGTTGTCGATGTCCTCCTCCCAGTAGTAACGGATCATCTTGAGCCACTCGAAATCGGTGCTACAAAGTTAAATATATCAGCCACCGCTGTGCGAACGCGGTAAACGGTCTCCCAAACCGAGCACGCCCTATGGGGTAAACTCACGCGCGCTGCACCCGCTTCTCGATCATGCTGGCGATGGAGTCCCTCGCGTGCACGTCCACCGTGATGAGGGCGCAGAGCACGCGTCGGAAGAGGGCGCCCAGCGGCTGCCGCGTGAGGGCCGCGAGCGCGTTCAGGTCGGCCACGCTGCGCCGCTCG